TGAGACGAACCCATCTCCAGACAGCGTGCACACAGGCTTTCGCGGCGTCCGCTTCACTCACCCACATCTACGTAAACATCTCCCGAATCGCTTTTCAATACCCGAACAAGCCGGCCGATCCAGCCGACTGGTCCCCAACCTCACATTGTTCACCGACACAAAGTAAAACTCACGCCTGAAAAGCCCTACTACCAGAGAGCGAGACCGCCCTCTTCTCCCCGGGGGTCCGCGTCGATACCAGAGCTTAAGTCCCACTTCTTTCAACACTATGAATGGCCGCTAGTTCCAAATAGGCCGTTTTGTTAGTCTGATCCCAGAACGGCAGATAACCTAATATCATCTCATCCCAAAGTATCAGAGAAGTTTTTTCGTATGATCCCAGTACAGAAAAAAGTTCATAATAATCGGATCCCAAGGAAACAAAGAGCCCGCGTTCATCTGATCGCGGAGCAGTGCTCCTTCCGAGTGGCGCGCTCATAAGAAATCAAACAAACATCAGCAAAGAGGATAAAAGCACACAAGAACTGTATGGTCACAAAAAGACGTTCATCTTCCGCTGTATGGAAATATTTTGTATGCCATAGAGATGATATTAAGCAAAAGCTAGTGGTTTGTCGGGACTGCTATGTGTCTTGGCACAAACACCACCAGCTTATTTGACATACTTTGTTGGTAGCTCTGGTTCTATTTGGCTATATACATAATTCTCAACTCTTAAATGTCACAAAAACATCAAATATCATTCAGCCCAATATGTTCATATATAATAATTAGGATTTTATGGTTATGTACCATATTATGCAAGATGATTATTTTGACATAGAGGAATCGCAGAAAGCAAATTAAGCAAAATGATTTAAAGTCAAAGTGATGACAGGGACAGGCTAGGCTACTCCAAGAGGCTAAATGATACGTATCTATGCAAGCCTTGCATTATTGGGTGAGTCCGTCAAACATGAAAGTCGTCTTTAAGATGAATTTGCATTGCAGTCCTGATGTGGTGATGCTGACAGACTGCGTTTTCATTCACATTAAATGTGAAGTGCTTTCACCTTCATCCTATATGCATCATGTTCATTCTGCCATATTGGCTAGTAATCAATAATGAAAATTTTAATCGATGCTTTTTAATAATCAAGTAATCGAGATTATTTGAGCAATCATGACAGATCTACTTTTGTGCTGCTGAGAGGTGACACTGCTCATCGAAAGTCGAAAACTGAAGGGCTAGACGGGAGTGACGAGTAAGAGCCAGCTGAGTATAACTACCAAGGGCCAGACGGGAGTGACGAATAAGAGCCAGCTGAGTATAACTACCAAGGGCCAGACGGGAGTGACGAGTAAGAGCCAGCTGAGTATAACTACCAAGGGCCAGACGGGAGTGACGAGTAAGAGCCAGCTGAGT